CTTCGATTTGATCGAGGCTGGTGGCGGTGATTGCTATTTGGATTCCTATTTACCTTTGATGCCCGATCCTTCTGCTATTGATAGCATCGAAATCAGTATTACCTCATTGACCACGAACATTTCTTTTGTAGCATGCTGCTCCCTGTACATTGTTTTTACCCCGTCTAACGTTGGGAATTTCATCATTTGGTGGAGAGTTGAAGGGACTGCCCTCATGTTGTGGATCCAAGGCGTCCCGAATAGGGTGTTGTACCTCATGTCTCCATCGATCACGTGAAACCTGGTACCTTGGATAGTTCCAGCCACATTCACCAGTAGGATAATCTCTGCTTTAGTTGTTTCACTGGACATATTGAAACCGTTCAAGACCCGAGCTGGGGGCACGATCTGATCTTGTAGGCCGAGTTTCTCCGCGACCCTCAATCGGATGATATTTGCTGAGCTACCTGGATCTACTAAAACACGCTTAACTTGAACTTTATTTAATAAGATAGAGATTACCAGAGTGTCGTTGTGAGGCTGAGAAATTCCTTCTTCCTCCTTGTCGTTGAATGATATGGTTCCTTCTGGCACATAGTCTCGGGTTTGTTTCTCTCTAGTAATTGATACCTTAGTGCGTTTGACCAAGGGCCCTTGTGGAATATTGACCCCTCCGACGATCATATGAATTACATGTTGTGGCTCTTCCTGTTCAATTTTCTTGTTGGCGTCCCTTTCCCTGAAATGATTCTTGGCTTGGTCACTTAGGAATTCTTGAAGGTGGCCCTCATTGAATGAACATGCTACCTCCTCTCTCAATTGCCTACAATCCTCGGTCCTATGACCATGCGTGCCATGATATTTACACATCAGATTGGGGTTCCTTTGGGAAGGATTGGTCTGTATGGGCCTAGGCCATCTAGTGTCTTTGATTCTTCCAATTGTCGATACAATACCTGATGCATCGACACTAAAATTATACTCTGATAATCGAGGTGCCTCTATGGGGGTCGGCATACTTATCAAAACCATTTTTGCTCATGAGTCCCTGAGAATTCTGTCCTTGATCGCTTATCCGATCGTTCCGGGCGTGATTGCATCCTGGACCACTGTTCCTGCGATCTAAGGTGTGCGGTTGATATCGATCTTTGTTCGATTTTGGCTCTTTGTTGATGTCCCTCTGATTTTTGGCGGCTGACCTGTTCGGGTGCACTGAACCAGAAGGAGCTCCTAATTGGTCATCCTCGACCCTGATCTTCGATTGGTACCGATTGTGTACATCTGCCCAAGTTACAACCGAATATTCGATCAGATTTTGCTTCTACTAACGTGATTCTATCGAACTTCATTCATTCAATCCTTGAGTGAAAGATTGAACGGCCCAATCATCAGTGACTGGTGGAAACTCTATGCGTTCCATTTGAAATCGGGATACAAACTCCCTTAACATTTCATTATACCTTTGTCTTACTTTGAAAAGGTTCAATTTTCTTGTCATAACCTTTATGGCTCCGGCATGTGCCTTTACGAAAGATTCTGCCAACATGGCTAACGAGTCGATGGAATTTGGTGGTAGATTGTGGTACCAAATCATTGCTCCCTTCGATAGGGTTTCCCTGAACTTTTTCAATAAACAGATTCAATCTCATCATCTTCCAAACCATTACCCTTGATGGCGCATGTGTAGGAGTGATATGCTCCTTGGGATCGGTGGTCCCATTGTATTTAGGTATGTCCAGCATACGAAACTTCTTTGGAATGGGTTTCGGTGCCGCACTCGAAAGGAAAAGCTTTTGTACAAATTTCTTCGAATCCATCCCTTTCAAGATTGGTGGTGCCCCCGGTATCTGATCAACTAGGGAGTTGTATGTTTCCACTTTTTTATCATTATCATTTATTTTCTTCTCTCCTGACTCAATTCTTTTGGTGAGCTCCTTGAGCATTTTCATTATGGCATGATAAGTCCCCAATTCGTTATCATTCGACCTTTCCGGCACTGGCTCGGTATGGCGAGTGATTTCTGGCTCGACCCTACTCGGAGTTCTATGTTGATTTTGTAACTGAGCAATAGCGGCCTGTTGAGTCTGTAGCATCTCGAATATCACCTAGAAACTAACTCCTCCGTCTCCTCTGCCATGTGTACCTTGGCCACCAGATTGGCCTTCTCTGCGTACACTCCCTTCGGGGTCCGCGCCTAGGTCCGCATTTAAAGCAACGCGCGAACTAACATCGACTGGATTGGCAACTGATGCTCCCCCGAGATTAGCCTGCAGCACCTCAGCTCTTAGAGCAATTACATTGTCGTTTTCCCCGTGAAACTCGAGACCATCTTTACCATGTGTGGGTGTGTTTTGTGAGTTTGACATGTTTTAACCTGAGAGCAAAGATACTCGACAAGAACAAGTGTAAAATAATGTGTGTTATCAGAATCAGCATCAAGCAATCACTATTATCCTTAGCCCCACGGTGGGCGCCAAACTATTTACCCTCAAATTCGGATAACAACTAAATTTATATTGTGATTTTAAGGATATGTGATTTCGTCCAATACCAATTGAAAAGTAAAAAAATAAACGAATAAATTAGAGGGCAAAATAAATCAAACTAGTATGCTAGCCAGGTCTCGACCTCGACTTAAGATAGTTTCGAGGTGGGATAGTAAATGATAAAGCAACTTTGATGAACAATAAACAAAATAGCAAGAAAGTAATGAGTGTATAAATTCTTATCAGTGAACAATGGTGATCCTTGCAAATAAATGTGATCCTTCTTTATATAATAGGGGAGTCCTAAATAAGGTGCACTTCTAATTATAGTAGGAAACCATATTAACATCTAATTAATCGATGTATATTGATTCGTTCCGAGATTCACGCCACGATCCTCGGCCAATCACGAATATCTCGCCTTTTCCGTTATCAAGCTATGCTGATGTCACTCGAAGTCTGCGTCTTTCTGGTCGCAATTGATGTCTACCTCGGTCCGGACTCGATGTCCTAGCTTTTTGACGTGACATTCCTATCTCGACCAAAGAACGAAATCGGGTAGCCCCGATTTCTACCGTATACAACAGTACTAAATGATATACGTAAAAAGGAATAGAGGACACCACTTGATAAACACATTCCTCTCTGCATCAGAAAGATGCTACTCCCTCCGTTTCAATTTATGTGAACCTATTTACTTTTTAGTCTGTGCCAAAAAAAATGACTCATTTCCTTATTTGGAAACAATTTATCTTTACACAATGATTTATAGCCACACAAAATATATGTGCCTTATTTTACACCACAAGATCAAAAGTCTGCTCTCTTTTCTTAAACTCCGTGTTCAGTCAAATGGCTTCACATAAATTGAAACGGAGGGAGTACATATTATCATAGAGGTGACAGGATCGAGTCCCCGGCTATGTGTTAGCTCGGCTTCTTTTTCCCTTTTAGGAAAATACTGAATATCAATCTTGCTAAGTACTGTCATCTTTACTTGCAAGTGACCATGGTTTAGCTTTATTTATTTATTACTTCCTTTTTTTTGAAACATTTATCCCTTCTTTGTTTTTCTTTGTAATGTTAATGACAATACATTAATGCATTTAACTTAATTTTTATTTATACGATCTTCTTACAACGATTTATTTATATGTTCATTTATTTAAATGTGACACCATTTACAAAAAAAGTCTTGCATACGCCATTGCACACAGGATTTGGAAAAGAATCGCACCCTAAGGGAATGTGATGTAGGCAGCCTAACTTGAAGGATAAATTTAAATCTATTTCCTGAAGAAGTTGAAAACATGGTGTCGATCCATGCGCTTCGTTCTAGAGCTTGTTAATAGCAGCATACAAAATAATTTGATACATAAACCAAAATCATAGTGAAAGACAAAATTGATATAAAAAAGATACTGTAGAACCACGAAGTAAGTTCACATCAAGAGGGAAACTCGTTGCTAATCCTTTACAAAAATCTGTGGCTAGTGTAGCATTCTGAAAATTGTACTGTCCTTAGAAAGATTTTTCAGCCTTGCTTAAGGACGATTGACACAAAATCAGTAAGGAAGTAGACCCACCCTCCTGCTGGCCAAGGCATTTTGCATTGACATTCAATATTAGATGGTGGTAGGAATATGCTCACTGTAACTTGTGTTAATTCCCTACTTGACACTTTACTATCAATTTTAAGAATGTAACAGGCAGTCGAGATGGTTTCCCTATATGCTATTCCTTGGAATATATTATGGTGATTTATAATATTTGCTGGTTTTAAAAGCCAATTGGAATGGAGCCTTTGAGTTGTTTAAAGAATTCCTCATGTTAGAAATCATTCTTGAAGACATGCCTGCATCAATATATTCATTCTTCAACACAGAAAGGGGGATCTGGGCATTGTTACCGGTGGACTAGTGAATGTGTGCATTATAAAGGATTTATTCTTCTTGGTGGTCGTCGTTTATTTTTATTCCAAAACGTAACCAGAGATCCGGAATTCACTTTAGGAAAGGATTTCTTTCTCCTCAAAGTAGGTGTTTGCTCCACAGAACGAGATTAGACACGGATAAGGGCCCTTCCCCCAAGCAATGGTCAGAATATTAAGTGGTGGCCTCGGTCAACATACTTTTATCCCATGTGCCTACCTATTTAGCCAAGAACTTTAGATCTTCTTACTACAAGATATTTTCAAGAGCTTTCAAAAGCTTCTTGTATGAAGCTTAACTGGTCAATAAGACAGGTACTTTCAAAAAGAACAATATCAAAGAGCCAGAGATCATGATCCAGTTCAACAATAAGGTTGGTTCTTTTACAAGATAGCTTTCCATGCTCTTCATACTGTGTCTGCTCAAAGAGTGTAGAAACGTGAGCCTGCAAGCTTCCCTACAATGATCGAGGAGCTGCTACAATCGAGTATGTCGGACAGCTACCATTGCAAACCAGGCTCAGTTGAAAACGGAACTTTTTTTGGTTCGGCTGAGAAACACATAGCACTAAACAACTAGGCCTCTAAGAATGCTACATGCTACATTATAACCAAAGTGGATGAGGTCCTTTTCTTTTTTGGTTGAAGAGAGGTCCAAATTGTAAAAAAATTATAAATTTGACATTTCTTGGTACAATCTTCAAGATCAGGCATGGTCAGAAGGGGAGTAAAAGCTACACTTTTCCAACAAGAGAAAGGAACTTAAACGCAGGAAAACTAAGTACAAATGCTGCTACTATGAGAAGAAAGTACAAAAGCTGCTACTATCTGGTTGGGAAGAGGTCCAAATTGTTCAAAGCCTACAGATTCTGAATTTCTTTGTGCAATGTTCCAGATCAGGTATCAGAAGGCTGATTTTCTATGCTTCCTCAGAAAAGCAGTCGATATGAAAACTCTGAGTAGAATCCACACTTATGTCGTCTTTTGAGACAGACTTTGACAAGAATTTTCCAGCACAAAAATTCCGGTAAGGGCGATACACAGGAGGCAGTAGCATTGCAGACTCTTTGTCCATTGATAGTAGCCGGCTACACTTGCTGCATACTTTTGAGAACAAAGTTTGGTAGCTGCAGACCCAGAGCAGCAAAGAAAGCAAGGCTGTCTCGGTATCGACACCTGTAAAATGCTGTAAAGCCATAGCAGCATGCTCCGTGATGTACCTAAATACATGATGAACAGAAAATCCCCTCGCATGTACATAGCTACCACCCTCATCTGGCGAGAAGAAAGCTAGAGCATCAGGATCCAATGAACCAGCAGGGGAAACTGATACTATGGCTCTAAAAACAGAAGGTATCAACAACTCGATTATAGCAACCTTGTCTGGAACAACATCATCAGATGATCCTTGTCTTAACGTTGTCGTGCTTTGGAAAGTATTATCTTTCGATAATTCAATAGAATTTTCACTGGTCGAAGAGGGCAATGAGGTAGACCGCTTTAACCAATCCAAACGCTGGTAGGAGAAAGTTGTTACATTTGGAACCTCCATTTTCAGATGTGTCAGAACTTCAGACACTGTTTTCGGTTCCCAAGTTTCTTCTTGATCACTTGATGGAGGACCACAAAGTTTCTTTGTAGCACCCTCCTCACCAGCATTGGTATCAAGGTGTGGGAAAAATCGTCGTTTCTGATCATTAAAGGCCTTGAGGGCTAACCTAGTCCTATCAACTGCAGATGCACCAGCCTGACCAGCAAGTTGTCTCTTCCATGCATATGCAACAACAGCACCATCGGGACAAACCAAGGGCATGTGGAGGCCCCACGAATTACTTCGTGATCGAAGGGAATCATTGAGGACACCAGAATCTTCCAACTGCCTTCCAACAGAGCGAAGGTCTTGTAGGTGTTGTCTCATAGAAGCTTCTTCTTTGAGGATAAGATGCAAAGGTTTAGAAGAGTGTTGTGGCTGAGCTGCCACAAATAGGGCTTCCAGAAGCCGATCTGCGCCAAGTCTGATATCAGCTATGAGTCTACTCGCCTGCCCCAGCCGCTCCAGTGCCATTGCCACCTGCTTTGGCGGCGCATCTCCATTCGCCTGGCTGGACTCTGCCCCTGAAGCTCCTGGTCCCGCCGCTGTGTGGGGTTGTGGTGTTGGTTGCTGCATTTTTGTATGTCTGAACCTTGGGAGGTTTTAATGTTGGTGATTATAGTCCCCGTGGATGAGGTGTTCTGTTTTAATTATAAAAAGGAGAAGTGGGTGAGAGTCAACCTTAACAGGTAACCATAAAAACCAGTTCAAAACCTACATTTCATTAAATCATATTTCAAAAGTTTCAATGGTCACCTCAACACACTCATTTTGTCACCACTTGGGCTCGAACATGTAAGTAATGTCTGATATCGTGCTTCAGAGCAAAAATTCTGACCAAGTACCCCATAAAACTAGGAACATGTACATAAAGTAGTGAAACAAAACAAAAATTAACCACAGCAGCAAGCTAAAAGGATGTGCGAGTGACTGTAGCCTCCTTTTCCACTTTGAAGAAGGAGACTGTTCATCACCCAACTTTATAGGACAACTGGATACAGCAAACAATCACTCCGTATTTTCTGTAATCCTTTTGTCCAATTGTACGGTATGAACAAAATACTCCCAGAATGGAAATGCAAACGATTTTTACCGCATATTCCAAAAGATAACAGTAAGAGGCTGTCCGAGTGATTGTAGCCTTCTTTTCCACTTTGAAGAAGGAGACTGTTCGTCACTCCTATATTGTAGGAAAACAGGATACAACAAATAATCACTTGATATTTTCTGCATTCCTTTTTGTCCAATTGCATTGTGCGAACAAAAGACCCACAAATTGGAAAAGCAAAGAATTCCTACAGCTATTCCATATTCCACAAAATTATGCAGCGGCGCAAAGAGGATGTGTGAGTGAGTGTAGCCTCCTTTTCAACTTTGAAGGAAAATGTTCATCACTCACATGTTGTAGGGCAACAATATACAGCAAACAATCACTCAATATATTCCGTAATCATTTTTTACCAGACTATAGGGGATTTGATGTGAGCTATCCATCTTGCTATGCAATCACAGCAAATTTTGTGAAGTACAAATATTTTTTGAGTTACATGGGGAAAGGATTTCCCTTGTCTATCAAAAAAAGTAGCAATGATGGGAATAATGTCTTTGAAGTTTCAACGCTTTGTGATTCAGGAAAGTCTCCCCGCCAAGACAGGAATTTTCTAGCTTTTACTGATGTAGATTGATAAATATAATCCACTATACTGCTGTTTTATAAAACTTATACAGCCAAATTCTTTCACGAAGGGAAGAGAATGTGTCATATATCTTTTTTTATCCTATATCCTTTTCACTCCATCCTATTGCTCATTGTGGAAGATTATCTTCAAAAGTTTGGAGAACTGTAGGGCAGAAATGGAAGCCAAGGTATCCTCGATACTGTAGATTGAAAATATTAAAACTTTCTAAAACAGTTCTCCTATTTTAATGATAAACTATTTGGTTGACCAAATAAAAGACGATAAATATTGAAAAATAGTTAGAGTCCCACAAGGCCACAACAGCAGCCAAAACCAACACCCCAGAGCACATCTGGAAAATATACTAATTCATGTCAAACTGGTTGTGAAACAATGTTAACAAGAAAGTGAACTGTGGACAACCAAAAAGGAAAAAACATTAGAAGAGATAGAAATCTAAGTTTCTTAGGTTTCTGTGAGGATGAAACAAATATAAAGAAATGTATAAAGAGAGAAACATTCAGAAATGACTAGAAAGCATCACCACAGAAAACACACTCACAAAGAAAACACACAAGCCTTTCTAGGTGGACGGACTTCCAAAATAATTACTCAATTAGAAATACTTCCAATTCCTGCTACAGAAACAACTCTCCCCGCCTAATACTAATGTAGTTCTATCTTCTAGTCTATCAAAACTTCACACCTTCAACATTACAACTCCGACTCAGCAAATCCTTCATTCGCTTTCCACCCAGTGAACGCTCATCGTAAGAGATACAGAAGGCAAGGGATGAGATGATGTGTAATGGTGCCTCGGGTTGGAGGCAAGGAGAAAGGTCAAAGCATAAATGACCAGAGCTTAGAACCTCCGGAAACGTATGCCCAACAGAGATTTACCGCGATCATAGCCTCCTATCTCATTAGAAGGAGAAAGAAAGGACTATGAATCACCAGAAGTCACCAAGAAGAGATAGACTATAAGTTATAATTTGCACTTGTTTTCCTACCTTTACTTGATTAAAAAAAAAAGGTGGACACATTGTTGGCTTCCACTGGTAGGCCATCCAACTTATTGTTATCTTTCTGAACAAATGTGACCTCTTCTTGAACAACAAACCATAAATGAGTATACAAAGTCGAGAGAATCAATGAAGTTATATTTTGTCTAAATTCAGAACATGTCTATATTCATTGAGCTTGAGTAGCTACAGAAAGTTTATAGGATAAGATAAGATAGTATTTTTTGAATTTTATTATGGGTATTACTGTCCTACCACATGAATGTAGTATATTACTATATTAGGAATGTGTAGACAAGCTTAGTTTAACAGAAGAAGTAGCAGTCAACGGGTAACCAAATACAAATAAATTCGCCTCTAAACAAAATAAAGAGAATCCACAAGCTATTCTAAGCAAACGAACATTCAAGAAAACAACACCCAGCAAGGATATGACAATAAGGAACAACTGAACTCTTCCCATCTAGTACATTTTGGCTTATAGTTTTTAGTCTATCAAAAAGTTCCTAATTTCCACCTCAGCACTCCAATAAACAAATCCTAGATGTGTTGTCCATCCACTTAACCGCCACTCATAAGCAACATGACAGGGGTGAGATAATGTGCACGGCACTCTGGGGTAAGCACCAAAAGAGAAGCAACAAGTTTAAATGATCATAGATTACAATTAGTACCTTCTGTAAAAGTAACTAAATAGAGATGTAGGGTTATTGTAGCCTACATTCTCATCAGGAGGAGAAAGTAGGGGACTATGAATCACCACAAGATGTAGGATACCAAGGAGAAACAAACTAATAGGTTATCGTTTGCATGTCTTCTTGGTGTCCAAGGTTTAATAAAATTTAAAAAACCATCCAGGGAAGGCACAAAAAAGCATAAGCAATCCACTTAACAGTCCACAAAATGCATAAGCATAAAAAAGCCTGTCCTAGATGTGATGTGCATCCACTTAACTGCCAATCGCCAGCAGAATGAAAGGGGTGAGACAATGTGCATGGTACTCTGGGGTAGGGGCCAAAAGAGAGGTAAATGGTCATAGAGATGTAGGGCTATCGTTTTTTAATAACAAAATACAAGCTTAGTTTAACAGAAGAAGTAGCAGTCAACGGGTAACCAAATACAAATAAATTCGCCTCTAAACAGAATAAAGAGAATCCACAAGCTATTCTAAGCAAACGAACATTCAAGAAAACAACACCCAGCAAGGATATGACAATAAGGAACAACTGAACTCTTCCCATCTAGTACAAGTTGGCTTATAGTTTTTAGTTTATCAAAAAGTTCCTAATTTCCACCTCAGCACTCCAATAAACAAATCCTAGATGTGTTGTCCATCCACTTAACCGCCACTCATAAGCAACATGACAGGGGTGAGATAATGTGCACGGCACTCTGGGGTAGGGACCAAAAGAGAAGCAACAAGTTTAAATGATCATAGATTACGATTAGTACCTTCTGTAAAAGTAACTAAATAGAGATGTAGGGTTATCGTGGCCTACATTCACATCAGGAGGAGAAAGTAGGGGACTATGAATCACCACAAGATGTAGGATACCAAGGAGAAACAAACTAATAGGTTATCGTTTGCATGTCTTCTTGGTGTCCAAGGTTTAATAAAATTAAAAAAACCATCCAGGGAAGGCACAAAAAAGCATAAGCAATCCACTTAACAGTCCACAAAATGCATAAGCATAAAAAAGCCTGTCCTAGATGTAATGTGCATCCACTTAACTACCAATCGCCAGCAGAATGAAAGGGGTGAGACAATGTGCATGGTACTCTGGGATAGGGGCCAAAAGAGAGGTAAATGGTCATAGAGATGTAGGGCTATCGTTTTTTAATAACCAGATATGTAGGGCTATCGTAGCCTACATTCTCATTGGGAGGAGAAAGTAGGGGACTGTGAATCACCACAATATGTAGGATACCAAGGAGAAACAAACTAATAGGTTATAATTTGCATGTCTTCTTGGTGTCCAATGTTTAAAGAAAATAAAAAAGCCATCAAACTTTCCTGAACCACACGAAGGACATAACTTGGTCCCACAGAAACCAAAAATGGGTATATTATTGTATAGAGGTGTTAGCTTTAATGCACCTCCTGAGATTAAACTATTTTGATGTCCCTCACTAGTGTGTGCGTTCTGAAGGTTGATTTCCATGCAATATATTCTGTTCGGGTGAACTGAGCTGTTCAAGGTAGGAGGAAGTCACCAGTCATTAGCTTATCTATAAATAAGCAATTCAAAGTTAGAAAATGGGTATGGGCAATGGTGCCTTCCTACTCATCCTATGCAGCAAAAAGGGGACAATGAATCACCACCGATACTCGTTATGTCACCAGGAAGAAACAAATGAGCTATTAAATGCTTATGTCATTCTTCACTAATGGTCAAGAGCTTGCTAGGCTTTTAACCTCCCTGTGACCATGATCAATAACCCAACAAAAAGTTTACTAGAGAAAATTCTGACTGGATAATTTCAAAGTGATTCGAAGATGACACAATAGGTAACGAAAGTTCCCCTATCAATGTGTATCACTGCCGACACTGAAAACTTCTGCTAAACATCTATTCATTGCAGGATGCATATATGCATCTGCACTTCTTCAGGAACTAGCTGATCTTTTTAACAAAGTAATCTTTTCTTTGGCAACTTTGTGCATGAGGAAATTACACCAGTCACAAATGAGTGAAAGGAACTAAGAAAGGTGGAGGCGGACAGACACGGACTAAAGAATACTCCAGGCATCCTTTTTTCCCCGATAAATCTAAAAAGCTAATCGGGCTGGTATTAGGTTTAAGCAAAACCCTCAGAGAACTTTTCCCGGCATCCTTCCAGGAAAAAATGTTATTTAAAAGGAAAACTATGAATTTTTTTGTATTTTAAGTATTTATCACTGAAGTCGAGACTCATCCGTCAATAATGGATTCAGCAAAAAAATTCATGCATATTTTCCCGACCATAAAGTTGACTGCTTGGCAATATAAGTAATATAATAAGTAGATGCTGAGCATAATGTTGATGCTTTTTTTATCAGATAAGTAAATGTTATTCAAATCAATACCAAGATGGTACTGCGAGAAGTAAAAAACAGCTAAGTATAGTAGAGCATAATCTTGATACCACAAGCAATAGTGCTGCCCCCTGAATATCTAGGCGCAATACACTTTATGTTGTAATCCATTTTTATCAAAATAATAGCAAGCCATTCAAATAGTTCAGTTGATAAGGGGTAGCTACTCATGATACAAACTGCAATACGCATATTCCAACCTACAAAGTCACCCATGTCACTCGAAATATTTTAAAAAAAAAAAAAAAATTCGTGAGCGTCACCTTATGAATATCCCCGTGTACATGTAGAGAATGCTTCTTTATCAAAGATGGCCAGCTTGAGAGAACCTACAGAAGTCTTGTTTTTTCTTTCTTGATTGATGGTGTAAATCTCTCTCTGGATCTGTCTAAAAGGAAGAGGATGAAGGCTTGAATCAACTGTGAAGAGGAACTAAGGGACATACGACACAGAGGAGTGTCAGCCAGGGTTTTGAGGAGAAGATTTGGATTCGAGATTGTTCCAAGCGCAGTCGTATAACACTGGGAGGAAAAGCCCATACCTAAATCCCTAAATTTGAGGGTTCACTCAATAAAAAGTGGAGTATTAAAAGGCTTAAATTCGATGGAGAAAAAAGGGCTTAGTTCCCAATTTTTTCCTAACTATACCATATATGAAACCTTATTACCCTAAATGTGCATAGTTTGTTAATTATCCGCCCAGTCCACACTTTAACTACAATTTATATACCATTCGACTATTAGGCATTAAAAGGGCAGAATATTCCCTAAAAACGCGCTAAAATTAAGGAGAGAATCTTGATGTTAATTGATTCTACATTAAATTCAATTTTAAAAAGGGAAAGGAGATTTCTCATTTGTGTAGTTTTCTCCAGAACTACAATTCAAATTCTCGAAAAAAAAAGAACGAACAATTCAAATTTTCGAG